AAATCAGCGCCTACAGGACATGCCAGGACGTCATCATTCTGGGTCATCATGTGACACCCCTGGGTGGGGAGATTCTAAGAAATGTTAATTTTCTTCTTTATAGTAACCCCATTTTTATCTTTCCATGATGTATGAATTAGTTTATAATTTAAAAATAGATACTGTCACGTATCTAAATACACAATTTTGTGTGTACTCTTTGTAACTTGTTTTCAATTTGGGGATTGTGAAGGTTTTTTTCCATCCTTCTCTGGGGAACAAAAAGCTCTTTGTATTTCATAAACGTTGCCACGCCAGGACAAAAGATCACCGGTACGACACCATGTTTAACACAAACCAATGCCCAGAGACGTCCCGTCTTACCTCTGGGTGAACTCTGTCGTCGCCATCCTGAGCCCTGCCATCTGTAAAAGACAACAGTGTCATCCAAATGCTTGTCACGCATCACGGCATGTAAAACGATAACCGCGTGGAATCCTTCTTCACAGAGAATGACGCGTCATGACGTGGGCCTAATTTCCACCACAAATAAACCTCCTGCTTATAGCATGAGACAGAATCTCGTGAACTTCACGGAAGAGGAGGGGCTTCAAGCCACACGGTGGCCAAGCGGCAGTCCTAAGCCGCCAGCCAGCCCCGTGGCCTGCGCTTGGCCTAAGCCGCCATCGGCAGGAGAAGCCCCTGCACCTAGCGGCAGGCAGCAGGCACAAGAAGCAAAGTGAGGCCACAGTTCAGGTGGCTTCAGATCCCACTGACAGGTTATTTTACTGTGGCTGATGTTTCCCTACGTACATCAGCACCCGTGGTGCCCAGCTTTGTGTCACTCATGCACGTTCCTCCAGCGTGAACAGCCGCTGCTGGGGACACGACCACACCCGGCACCTTCCACTTCCCGCCTCGCCCAGGCGCCCGCTAACCGTCCGCCGACTGCCCACCACAGCAGAGTCCCACTGCCGCCCCTGCAGCCTCCAGCAAGACTCGGTGCCAACCCACAGCAGGGAGGGCACACCTGAGCCTGCCGTGCGCGGGGCCGAGCTGCAGGCTTCCCCGTGGCCCAGGGACTCGGAGCGCGTCAGCTGCAGAGAAGGTGACGGCTGGGAAGACGTGGCTCAGGGTTCCCGCCGCGTGGGTTGTGGGGGGCTCTCTGCCTCCCCCACCCCAGCAGGCTCAGAGGCTGGGGTGCGCCTGACACAGACGTTTGAAGGAGCCCCTCCCACTTTGTTATTCAAATGTTTGACGATATTCATTCGCACAATCCAAACAAAAATGCTTTCGGTCACTGCTATTTTTTTCTGGCTCTGAACCCGGCACGGAAAAGGAATTAAACCTCCTCACGGAGAGCAGTTGCCCGTCAGCGTCACTGCTGGGCTCGGCCGGGTCCGTCAGGAAAGCTTCCGGACGCAGAAGTTCAGAGGGAAAAAAATCATTAATGCAAACCCCGTCTCCGGCAGAAAGAACTCGCCGGCCCGTGACCCCGGGGTCTCCCCGCCGCTCTGCAGCCGCCGCCTCCCCCGGGCCCACCCCAGGCGAACAGGACCCACGGAGCCGGAGGTCACCTCGCGAGCTGTCTCCGCGGAGGGCAGGCTCCGGGCGCGGCTGCTCTCCGGGCGTCCCGACCTGCTGGACCCGCACCGCGCCCCACGCCAGGCGTCCCGCCGCCCGTCTCGTCCGGCTCCAGGGGCCTCAGGCTCGCGGCGTCCGCCTGCTGCCTCCTCAGGTCCCGCAGGAGGCTCCGCACCAGGGTCCCCAGGGGCACACGTGCGTGCCGCCGGCCGGCGTCTCCAGGGAAGACCGGGCAGCCCCGCGGGGGCGCAGCAGGGAGCGGGCGTGGCGCATTCGGTGCAGGCACCTGGGCCTCGGTCCCGCCCGGCCCCCTGGCCGGCACCGCGGTCCCTGCGCCGGGAGCGGGAAGCCTTCGAGGACAAACTCATCGACCCGGCGAGGAGGACGGAGGTTCAACCCGTGGAAACGGCTGGAACGACGCAGCCAGGAGAGAGAGAGGCCGGCAAGGCCGTCAGGGCCGCTAGGTGCTGAAGGGACGCGCGGCTGCTCGCTCTCGCGTGGGTCACACAGGCCGCGGGCGCACCATGCCCGGCTCCTCAGAACACAGCGCGGCGGCGTCTCCGCTCCCACGCGGTTTTCATGTGGCAGAGCAGGGCCTCAGGGACCCTCCGGTCCCACCAAGGCCAGGCCGTCCTGAGCACAGCGAGGGCAGCGGCGCCCGCGAGCTGCATCCGGGCTTTATTTGCACGTGAACGTGAGACGCGGGCGCGCAGGAAATGACGTCAGGCGCCGGTTCCCTCGCACGGCCAGACCACCGCGTCTCTGCCGAGCTGCAGAGACGGCGAGAGCGCGGGGATGTCGTCCTCTGGGGGCCACGCACCCTCTGCTCCTGGGGCCCAGGAGCACAGGCCTCTCAGCGCCCACGAGGCAGCGCAGACAGGCGCCGAGGGCGTCAGACAACCCCCCGTGACGGCAGGACCGTTGGCAACACGGCAAAAATGTGCACGTGAGCAGACACTATTTCTCTATAAGGTGCTTAAAATACAAGTTGTGTTTGGAAATGGTGGGGCGTCCATCACCCCCTCTCCAGGAGACGGTCCCCCCCCCATTCCCCACCCCCTCCTCCAGCCCCTTCTCCAACAACATGGGCGGGGCCACCAGGCGGTGTCTGGGGGGGGGGAGGGCGCCGCCGGCTCCATCCGTCCGCCTCTCCCTGCCCATTTGTCTGCCCCGTGCCTGTCTGCGCATTTGACAGTTTAGCTGGATTCCTGTCCTAGTCAGACGAAATGCAGAAATGCCGTCCCACGGGGTCTGCCCCTCGCGCCTGGTCTGACACCCCAGGGGTCGCGCTCAGGGAGCGTCAGGAAGGTGTGTGAGGCACACCTGGGGGCTGGGCACCCTGCAGGGACCCCAGACAGTGGTGAAGCGGAGGTGGCAGAGCCGCACCCTTGGCCCACACGAGACATCCACCTTCCACAGATTGGGGACATCACCCACGTGTTTCCGCTTCCAACCACAGCGACATCACGGCCGCAGCTGTGCCCTCCCGGGACATGCAGCTGTGGAGCTGGCACTGACCCACACAAGGAGCAGCCAGAGACCACGGAGCAGGGCGGGGGGAGCTGCCTACACTGTCCTCGCTGATGTCCAGGCAGTTCCTGGACCCCGTGAGGAGGGACACGGCCCCCGCTGAGGAGCCAGGGCCGAGGTGGGCTGTGAGGTGCCGGGATCAGGGGTGGGTGCTCTGCGGGGGGGCTGTGTGGGGTGCCCCAGAAACGACGCACAGGGCCACGACAGGTGCTTGGCCAAGTGACGGTGCCTCGTGCAGGCGAAGGCTCAAGGCCCAGCAGGGAGTTGTACAGCCGGGCTGGGCCGAGCAGCACCGGACACCAAACTCAGCAGGGAGCCCAGAAGACCCACCACTCCAGAGACACAGCGAGACCACTGGCAGCCCCAGAAAAGGTCGGTGCCTGTTGGTCGGCACGGAGTGTTGTCAGACATTCCCCGGAAGGTTCTCCTGTCCCTTGGGAGCTGGAAAGGCAGTTGTGACATTTTGACAGATGGAGAAGGAAGAACAGTTCTGTGGCTTCTCAACAAGGCAGGGAAATGTCTTGAATTTCAGATTTCTAGTGAAAATAAATCAGGTTTCATCATACTGATCAACACAAACTTCCAGGAAACATACTTTTATAGACTTCAAGATTTATGAAAATGGGGTGTGTGTGTGCGCATGTGTGTGTGCACATACATGCTGGGGACTCCACTCAGGTGGCTACAGTGCTGCCGGGTGAATGCCGGCAGGCCCGGAGATGTCAGAAGAAGGCGACTTTGGAAAACACCTCACTTGAGTTCACGGGAAGGAGGCAGAGCCCTGGGCCCCCAAAGGACAGACCTGCAGCTCTCTAGAAGCTTCTTGCGCTATTTCAAGGAAGCGAGGTGTGGGGTCTGTTTCCACAGTGTGGATGTCACTGTGACATGCTGGTCACATGTGACACGGGCCATGCTGATGCTCCCTGATCTGTACACAGTGCGGCTCTCTGGCCTCCTCAGACAGCACATGGGCCAGGCAACGGCTCTGAAATCGCACGGTGGCCCGTTTCCGCGCCCACCACAGAGCACACGGGTGTGACGAGGCTGTCTGCCCATGCGGCTATTGTTGGCACCTGCTTGTGCCTGCAAACCTATGTGTTACTCTTGCCTGTTGCACTGTGTAAGTGGCCCACAAAATGTTCTGTCCTGTTTCTATGTCTAGCAAATAAATCTCCTTCTAAAAATGTAAATAAATAAACCAATTTTAAAGAATTTTTAAATTATGTTATGCAGAATTATATTGTCAGGGCTTTTCTCTTTCAGGATTTCGACATTCAGGATCGCAGCGTTCCTCATTGTGACTCAGTGCTGCCAAGAGATCTGTGCTTCCCAACGTGCGTCCCAGCAAGTTATCCCGTAGGTGCGGACAGACTCACTCTGAAGTTTGCAGGTGGAGGCAGAAGACCCAGGACGGCCGACACTGTAATACAACAATGATTGCGACAGTGGGGTGTTGGTCAAAGAACAAACGGATCAATGGAACAGAAGAGAGACACAGATACAGACCCACACACACGGCCAGCGGGTCTTGCACAGAAGGGAAGACAATGCAATGGAGAAAAGATGGTCTTTCCAACAAATGGTGCTAAACAGCTGGACGTTCTCATGTAAAAAAAATGGATCTAGACACAGGCCTTACACCCTTCACAAAAATTAACTCAAAGTGGATCACAGACCTAATTATAAAATGAAAACCTATTAAAACTCCTTGAAGATAACATAGGAAAAAATCCAGATGGCCTTGGATTTGGTGAAGATTTTTTAAATATGACACCAAAGGTATGATCCATGAATAAATAATTGCGAAGTTGGACTTTATTAAAATGAAAACCTTCCGCTCTAGAAAAGACACTGTCAAGAGAATGGAAAGACAAGCCACAGATGGGGAGAAAATATTTACGAAAGACGTATCTGAAAAGGATTATTATCCAAAATACACAAGAACTCTTAAAATACCAACAAGAAAACAAACAGCCTGAATAAAACATGGCTCAAGACCATGGCACCCCTCGCCAAAGAAGATAAACGGTGAAAAATAAGCCCATGGAAGGATGCGCCGTGTCATCTGTCATCGAGGACATGCAAACCAAGACAGCGACGAGACACCGCGCACCTGTCAGGCGCCATGTGGATGCACAGCCACAGGGCTCACTCTGCTGCTGGGGATGGGAAATCACAGCCACCTCAGGAGACGATTCGGCAGTTTCCTCACAAAACCAAACACACTATGCATCCAACAATTATGCTTTTTCATATTTACCAAAAGAAGTTGAAAACTTATGTCCACACGAAAACCTGCACAAAGACATTTATAGCAGATTTATTCATAATCGCCAAAACGTGGAAGCCAGCGAGATGGTCCACGGTGGTGGGAAGATAAACTAACGGCAGCACGTCGTGTGTGGGATGCTGTGGGTAACGCTGTAGCACTAACAACGCAGGATTCTCGCGCTAAACACAAAGGCGCTGTCAGCCACGGAGAGTCGGCAAGGAACCTGAGACACACGTTTCTAGTAAAGGCAGCCGCTCTGGAAAGCGACCGTGTGGTCCCCACGATTTGACATTCAGCAGGAGGCAGAACGACAGAGACGGTGCCAGGGCAGTGGCCGCCAGGTCTGGGTGAGAAGCTCAGGCAGGTAACTGGATGAGCTCTGATTCCTCCCCCAGCACTGCGCGTCCACTGCGGAGACCCGACCTCACGCGGTCTTTTGATTCCGCCTTGCTTGAAAGCTTTTCAGAAAGAGACAAGCTGTAAATAACGAATGAAGGAACAGGATCTCTTTCTAAGTGTTTGCCAAACAGACTTTTGGCACTTGCATTAAGTCGGCAGCCCGTTTATCTGCCCCTCGCCTGGCGGCCGGTGTGTGGGCTTTGCTCTGCTGCTGCCTGAGACTGAACCTGGGGGCCACGTGCCGGACCCGCCCCTGCGGGAGGGCAGCCTCACCCTCTGGCCACTCAGAAGTTTTTTTTCCCGCTGGCTTTGTCCTCCCTCCCTGCGCGGGCGCAGCTGCTCCCTGGGTGTTAAGAATGTTCAGCCATGTAGAAGAATTTATGAAAACACAAGCCCCAGAAGTTTGGCAAAAAATCGAAGAGAAGCCACGGTGCACAGACCGTCTGCACCTGTCCTGACCATCCTGCTGCTCCACTGGGTGAAACTGGGTTTCATGGAGAGGCTGTCAGCGCCCTGCACCCCCATACAGGCTTCTGTCCTCGCGGCCAGAATCTCTCCGAACTTCCACGGAGGGTCCTGGGCGGCTTTAGCAGATAGAGCAAATTCTCCACGGCCTGGCTGGGCTGCTCATGGTCCAACATCAGCGAAGCCCCACGGTGCACTAGCTGGACCGTGTCTGGGAAGCCTGGACTGCAGCTCCGGAGGAAGACGCTAGTTTCTTTCCTTTTCCTTTGTCATTAAACATGGTAGGGAGAGAAACCCTTTTCCCTCCTAGCTCAGCTGGCCCCTGCCACCCGGGCGGGGGAGTCTCAGACTCTCCGGCACTGGGAGGCTGCACTGTAGGCTGCAGACCTGGCCTGGCCCACCCGCTGGCCCCGTGAGGGCTCAGCTCCGCACAACATGCATCTGGAGCGGAAGGACCATTTTAAGCATCAGAGCCCAGGCCAATTAGCCAGAGTAACAAAGTGAATTGTATTTAAACCAGCGTCTCAGATAGTGGTTCCTGCAGAGCTCCCGCTTTCTGGCAAGTCCCCTAAATCTCGTTCCGCCTCCCAGGCTCACCAAGAAGGCGAGGTGCCCACTGTGCCACTGCAGCTGGTGTGAAAAGCAACTGGGACCCTGACACAGAGCATCCGTTCACGCCCCAGGACCCAAGTCTGTGAGGGCAGCACCCCCACCGCACAACCACACCAACGTGCAACTGCAAACTGCTCTGGGTAGGGGTGGGGCAGAGCACGTCTCGCGGGGGTTGGGGTTTCCCTGAGCCATCTGTGAGTGACGAAGCTGCTGTCGGCCAGGCCAGCTGCACGGCCCAGGGCTGCCCGCGCTGCAAGGAGACGCGGCCAGACTCCATGCACCTCCCGTGGGAGGACAGAGCCCCTCTGAAGCCTCTTGCCAAACACTGACCACAGGTGACCACAGCTCCGGATCAGCTCCTCTTCACAGGAAAAACAGCGGAGAACCAGTGAAACATCTCTGGGTGCAATCAGCAAGACACAGAATGTAACAACTCCATGAGACAAACAGTCTCAGTTTGGAAAAATATTGCAAGAAAAAAAAAAGAGGGAGGAGAAACTCCCTGTAGACCGAGAGGTAGTACAGATCTATCCACCTTCTGTGGACCTTGTACAGACCCAGCTCCAACAGGACCAGCTATGCAAAAACGCACGAAAACTGGAAATTTGAGCACTGAATGGGTACTTGGTGAAATTAAGACAACCTCATGAATCTCTGGGTGTAACAAACCTACTGCTGTCAGGTTTATGGAAGAGCCGTCGTTCAGCCACACAGTTCTGCAACACGGACAACGAAACCACTCGGGCGTCGGGTACACAGAGGGGCAGGACAGTGGGAGTCGCTATCTGCTGGCGTTGGGGGAGGCACACGTGGGCTCCTGCACAATTCTCCACACGCCGTGCCTTGTGTCTGACACTTCGCACGTGCCTTCCAAGGCCTGCGCACAGTTAGGAGGATGGTCTACGTAGGAAGGTAACCAACAGCACAAGGTGGCACAGGAAAAATGCCAAGCAAATTCTGTAACTAACGGTTCCCAGGGAGTGGAGAGAGCGTTGTCAAGGAGCATATTCCAGAAGAGCCGCGCCCCAGGCAGTGTGAGGAAGGACAGGAGGGTGCAAGGAGCTGGGGGAGCTGATTCGCAGAGTGGAGCTCCCTGTGCTCTGCCCGCGAGCACACCTGGCTCTCCAGGTAGCCTTGGTCCCTCTGAGGGGGCAGTGGGAGTCACCTCTTCCTGCTCCCAATAACTAGCAGGGATGCCGTCGCTGAACGGGGATTTTTAAGTTGTGGGGGACAGGAGGGGAGACAGGCAGGGCTGGGGAAGAAGAGGACGTCGCCTGCAGGAGCCCGGAGGCAGAGGTGAGGGGCAGAGGGTGGCCGGCCCAGGGCGGGCGAGACGCTGCTGGTGACCCCACATGCATCTCTGTGGCCGAGGCTGAGTGCCTAGGGCCGGGGGTGACCGGGAAGCGTGGGCCAGGCTCCCGGGGAAGACCTCTGCGCAGAGCCCAGTGATTAACATGCGTGGGAAGGAGCAGGGATGAGCGTCGGCTCCTGGTGGGGGGGGGGGTGAAACACAGGAGGAAAGCCCCGCCCCAGGCCGCCGCCTGCCCAGGCCCGCGCACCCTGATGGGTGTTTACAGGACGGTTCTCAGTGCAGGGCCCAGTCTGTTTTCTCACAGGCCCCCTGTACCCCAAAACAGGACCAAGGCGAAAGCGTCAGCACCAACCACACTTCCTTCCCTCCAAGTGTCACCCTATGTGCCTCCCGTTTGAGAATCCCACACGGACAGAGCGAGTGGACACCTGGCTGGAAAGCAGGGCCTCAACGCTTCCCGCTACGCCGCGCCGTGCAGAGGCTGGTGCTAACGGGAGGCTCAGGCAACGTTTGTAAAAACCGCTGTCTGCTGGATTTAGCACTTGGGTCTCGCGAAGGAGCCATGTTTTGTCAGAATCCCACTTCGGGACGGCCTGGGAAGGGCTTGCAGCAGGTAACAGATTGGCGTCTTCCGCACACTGTGGGGCAGGAACCGTGAACTCCCTCCTCCCGCGCTGACCCAACCTTGTCCTAACTCACATGAAAACCTGAGAGCCGTGGAACCCACACCCCAGTCACCTCCAGTCGCCACACGCCCACCACGCCGTGAGTGGCATCCACGCCAGATGGGCACGTGATGCGAGGCGGCCACGTGTCTGGCCCACAGGGGTGGTGAGGCGTGGTGAAGGATGTGGACAGCTGCTCTAAAAATGCTCACAGTCTATTTTCCCGAATGCCACATGGGCAGCACAGGCCATGGGCCAGACTCAGCCTGCAAGCCTTGTCCCCACTGAAAATTGTACGGTCTGGGGACGGGATGGACAAGCCATGAGGACTGAACATGGGCAGCGCCTCACACGCTCAGGAGCCTGGCCCTGCCCTGCCCCCCAGCCGCCTCCTCTTCCACCCACACGGAGGGTGAGCCAGGCAGGGGTCTTCGTCACGCTCTGCCTCGCTCCTGCCACAAATCCTAAAGGGAAGCACGTCATGAAGACCCCCATAGCTGGAGCCATAAGAGGACCACTGCGGGCGGCAAGGTGCTGAGGGGACTGACTCACCTTCCTCCGTGCCAGGGGTGACTTTGGGGTCTCCTGGAGGTGAAGGCCACTTCTGGGGGGTGGCCGGTGCCAAGAGGGGCCTGGGCAGTCTTGGGGGCACATGCAGAAGGTACTGCGGCCCCAGGTCACCCTCCCTGGGGGGCACGGGGGGCCTCCGAGCTGCATAGGCACTGAGGGCTGCCATCAGGTGATGTCCGTCCACACTGCCGTCCACCTGGGGGCTGAGTTGGTCAGGCTGGGGCCGGTTGAGGGTCTGCAGCGGGAGGGCCTCGGGGAGCTGGGCCCGGGGCCCAGCAGGGTAGGTCAGCGCAGGTGTGTGGGCCGCGTAGGTCAGGATGCTCTCGGGGAAGGTGTCAGCAGCCTGGAGGGGCAGAGAACAAACAGGGCAGCAGTTCTATCTCTGTGGTCAACCACGACACACCATAACAGCCACAGCTCGGGCCCCCCGGAAGTATAACCAAAGTGGGGCTCTTGTTTCTGCTCTACTGACCAGCCAAGTGCTGTGTGTCCTAGCTGTTCTGGCGTTGATTTTGTTTTTAAATAACAGCCTTACTGAGGTAACACTCACATGCCATGAAATTCACCCACTTAAGTGGTTTTTAGTCTATTAGGAGTTGTGCCAAAATCACCACCGTTCAATTCCAGAACATTTTCATCACTCAGAAAGACGCTTGGTGCACATTCCCACCCCCGCCCCTCACCTGGGACCACTAATTTATGTTCTGTCTCCACGGAGCTGCCTATTTGGGACATTTCATATAAACGGAGTCATACGACACGCGGCCTTTTGTGCCTGGCTTATTTCACTGAGCATAACGTCCTCGTGGCGCACCCACGCTGTGCAGGCGTCCGCATCTCGTTCCTTTGAGGGCTGAATGATACCCCATGGCATGCATGCCCCACATTGTGTTTATTCATTCGTCAGCTGAGAAACACGTGGGTTGTCCCTGCTCTTCGGCTGTCTGGAATAGCGCTGCTGTGAGCACTCAGGCGCGAGTCTCTGGGAGGACGTGTTTTCTGTCCCCCTGGGCAGGTGCCGGGATGCAACATTGCTGGGGCACATGATGCTCCACATTTAACTTGGCGAGGAGCCTCCAAACCGTTTCCGCACAGTCGCTGGACTTTGCAATCCCACCAGTAACGTGCGAGGATGCCGACTTCTCCACATCCCTGCCAATGCTGACTACCCTCATCTTCTTTGCTGTGGTCATCCTAGCGGTTGAGAAGTGGCTTCTCACCGTGGCTTTGATCGCGCTCCCTGGTGGCCAGCGGTGCTGCGCCCCTTTGCGCATTGACCGCTGAGTGTCTTCTATGAAGACGTGCCTGTTCGGGTCCCCTGTTGGCACTGGGGTTTTTCCTAACCCGAAAAGCGTCTCCCTTCAGCAGAGTCTCATCTTCAGCAGCCTCAGAACTCTCCCAGCGTTTCGTCTTTACTGCGTTCCAATTCCTTCACTGATCAGCTCAGACGTTTTTCTCCTGCTATTTTAACCATGATGCTGTGCACCAGGGCCCCTGCTATGGTTCCTGGTTTGATAATTACCTATGACGTCATTTGCTAACTGAAGCCCTGGCGAACATGGTCTTTCCCTGAGCTTTGCCTGTGTCTTCTCCCGACTCATGCAGCGCATGTTGGCAGAAGACGTGACATCCTCGCAATTTGTTTCTGCAGCAAGACAAATGCAGGCACGGGTGTCGCCCTAACCCCTAGGACCGCTGTAACAATGTCAGAAATCTCCACGCTCTACCTCTGACTTGGGCTTCATCAAAATGTCATCGACAAGAACAGTAATTTCCAACTTTGAGACTTTCACAAAGGCCGAGCTACCCTGGAAGCACATCGAGCCGCCTGGACCCTGTGGTCCGAGTCTGCGGACCGTATATTTTTAAAATCTTGCCCGTTCATATTTTACACTTGCTCTTTCTTGGGGCACGTGATCAATGTTGAGTCTGGGGGGTGCCCACCTGGCACCTAGTTAAGGTGCACAGCCTTAGCTGAATTTAAGGCCAGTGGCTCAGTCCCAAGTCTGATCATTTCCAAAAATATCTGGGTCCAAGCTTCAGGGATGGATTTGGGGAACAAGCTGGAAGGTGGGGACAGGTGGGATGGGTTCTGGTTTCACTCTCACGCACGAACTTGGGCAGATCACTTGACCTTTCGAGACTCAATTTTCTTCTGTTAAAGAAAGAAATTGGACATTATCTCTAAGATTTTTCTATTATTATTTCTAAAATGATATGACTTTAGCTATCATCCAAATCATTTAACTTTGTCCAAGGACTAGCTAAAATCAGCTGCTCTCCCATTAGAAAGGAGACAGTGAGACGGGGCGGGAGGGGGGGAAGATGCTGCCACAACAAACAGCGCCTCCAGCGATTCCCCGCAAATTGGGTGTGAACGTCAATCTCAGGCTCAGCCTGCGCTTCCTTTCCGATCGACCGTCTCTGAACACCTGGCCAGGCCGCCGTGCCGGGGGCTGCGATCCCTGTCCCAGTGTCTCATTAAAGTGCCACAAGCATCCCTCCGCTCTGTGCTGCGGCTGCCGCCTCCCCCGGAGCATCCACTCAACGGCCTTTAATTACAGCTGAGTTGCAGGGCTCCAGGTACAGGCACCCGGGCTTAGCACAGGACATCACACCGTCGCAGCAGAGTGTGATCCGCACAGCTGACAAAAATGGATTGTTTATGCTCTGAATCAAATTAAGGTGAGGAGGAAAAAGAATATTTCAGTAGTTGCACAAACAGCAGAGACTGTAGAAATAATAGCAAACATCGGTTTCACGAGTCATGCGGGTGCTCTGTAAATGACTGCAGACACTGCGGTGTCCTCGGGGGAGCTTATGACAGCCTAAAGGTGAGGTGTCCTTCCTGCAACCACAGGGGTCCGGAAGGTGGGAGCACGAGCAGTGAGGTAAATAGGCTCATGGTGACTTCAAGTCTCAAAACAGAGGGTGCCAGGCTCTGGGGCTGCCTGGGTTTGAACCCACCCCCAATGCTACGAGGTTAGTGGTCTTTGCTCTGGTGAGTTATGTAACCTGTAAGTCACCTGTACGTAGCCACGATCACAACAGTGCCTGGTACAGCAGTGTTAACGGCTACTACTTTTATTTATCTTGCTTTCTTATACCTGCATTTTCTTTAAAGAAGTCAGGAAATCCGCAGCTCAGTTGAGGTGGAGCCAGCCAATTGTACTTTTTCTTCTACTTTCAGCTCTGAGTTTAAAATTCTATGACTCATTTTCAAACCCCGTTTTAAAGATGTTTTAAGTCTCAATCAGATATACCTACAATATGGAGTTTCCTAAGATAATGCTGAATAATTTTTAAGACTGTAGCTGCCCAAATCTATAAATTAGCAACCTAAAAGCATGAACACTGACCAATTTCCAACACATGGTATGGACACTTCTGATATGTGAATTCTTCAAACTGTGTGTAGGAGAATCTAGTCTGGGCATCCTTGGTGTGGCCCACTTTGTGTATATGGAGCATTTGAGAACTGCTGCCAAAGTTTGCTGAGATTTAAGGCACATTTCTTAACCCACTGCATTTCCACACAAGAAGCAGTAAAACCAATTCACCTGCACACTAAAGGAAACCAGTGGGGAAGGCAGCTCATCGGGGAGATTGGCCCCATCCTGTCAGCACAGCTCTGTTAACTCTGGACCAATTATCCACCCTCTTAGGGCCTCACTTTCACTACCTGCAAAACTGGAAAAAGAGTTCCCTTTTCTTTAAAAGCAGCTGTGATGATTAGGGAGACTATAGGTAAAATTGCCTCGCTCAGCACGTGGCTCAGAGGAGGTATCTGATAAGTGGCAGTCATGTCGGCAACGTTCCCACCACCATCATCATCCCCACCACCAACAGCATCCCCACCACCATCATCATTCCCACCACCAGCATCACCACCATCGTCATCCCCACCAACAGCATCACCACCACCATCATCCCCACCACCACCATCATCATCCCCACCATCACAGCATCACCACCACCATCATCATCCCCACCACCAACATCACCACCGTCATCCCCACCAACAGCACCACCACCATCATCCCTACCACCATCATCCCCACCACCAGCATCACCACCACCACCATCATCCCCACCAACAACAGCATCACCAACAACACCATCATCATCCCCACCACCAACAGCAGCATCACCCGCGCCATCAGCAGCATGACGCTACTACTGCTATTGTGTGCTGAGCTCTGGACTATGTTCTATGGGGGAAGAGTACCTCGACATGGCCCTGTCCTCAGCTTGCAAACTGAAGTGGAAATTACATCACAGACATTAATAACCGTAATTGAGAGGACACTGTCAGGTTCAGAAAAGCAATATTGGTTTTGGAGGAAAGTGATTGAATTCAGCAGCTTCCTGGAGCCAGCAGACACACCCTACCTCGAGTCTCCAACCTGCCAAACGGTGATGGCCACGGATTTACAGGCGTCAGGGGACAGAGCTCAAAGTCAGGGCCCTCCTCTGACAGGAACGGCTCTCACGGGAGTCCGCGCAGCCCAGTCCCTGGCTGCACAATTCGCGCAGACTGACAGGATGGCCTTGAGGTCCCGGCAGCCCACATGCCAGGAGACACTGAGAGGATGACACTTTCATCTGTGCACTGGCCACTCGTGCTTGTCAGACAGTCTCTTGTGCCGAGGATGCAAACAAATCAGGACACCCACACCGGGGCATCTCTGGCCACACGCCACACGTTTCCTCCAGTCTGTCTCACAGCCGGAGGGCAGTGCTGACAGCGCATTGATCCAGGCATGCTTACTGCCGGCCAAGAACACACACAGTGGCGGCTGTCCACAGGCCTCCTAATGAGACGGTACCACGGCGTCACAGGACACGGCAGGATTTGGGAGCTGGGTGGGGGTCTGGGGGATGCTCCACCTCCAGGTCATTAGCGTAGAGTGAGGCTACTCCCTGAGCCTTTCTGTGCTCAGGCCATGGAGGGTGAGTCTGGAGCCCTGTTTATTTTGTCTGTGTGTCTCCCTGTCTCTCTCTTTCTCTGTCACTGTGTCTGTTTCTCTTCTCTGTCTCTGTGTGTTTGTCTTTGCTTCCCTCACACTCTCTGTCTTAACGCAGTGGACGGTTTTATGTGTAACAGTGCCCAGCCTCCAGGTGGCCGACCCTGAGCGGGCAAGAGCCTGGGGGCCTCGTTCTTACTGACACGCTGCCGCCAGGACCCGCAGAGGAGCCTCACACTGGTGCAGACTGCACTGCCCCTGCAGCCAAGGTGGAGTCTCAGCTGCGAGAGCAGTCCCCAGACAGTTTTTACAGAGGTCGCAGAAGCCATGAGGTAAAATTCTAAACCACAGGACCAAGAAATGCTGTAGGAAGTCG